GCAGGAGTAACTTCTACGTGATAATCTCACGTCTACTAATTAGCAGGAGTAAACTTCGGCGTAGTACGATTAGGTGGACTCACCGGCAACGATCACACGCTTCGTCAACACCAACCGCGATCCAACGACCAGGCTCGGACTTCATCTTCTCCCACAAGTACTCTTCTTCCCGCAGTGATCTCTTCACCCGTTTGGGCGAAGGCTCCCCTCTGGGAGAAGGGGGGGGAGCAGCGACGGGGGCGGCGGCAGCGGCGGCGGCAGCGGCGATGGCGTTGGTGGGGGGGAGAACCCCGGAAGAGGAAGAGGAAGAGGAAGAAGAAGAAGAGGAAGAAGAAGAAGAGGAGAGGGAACGGCGTCGTTTCTGGCCCACAATTTGAGCAGGGGGAGGGGCAGGACCGGCTGCGAGTTAGCGATGTCTTGGAGAGCTAAAGAACAGATAAACAGGGCCAAGTTCGGCGAAGGTGTGAGAGGTTGGACGAAGAACTCACGCTCAGGACTATCTACGTTGTTGTCCTCTACACTAATCACCTCCACATCATCATCCGGGTATTCTTCTAACTCGCTTTCACCCTCACTATCGATCCTACCCTCCCCATCATCATCATCCTCACTTTCTTCGGTGTCGGGTCGATCACTCGACTCCGAGCCCCCACTGAGCGAGTCCTGGTCGGAGGAGGACGGAGACTCACCAGGACGAAAGGCGGGCGTCCTACGGCGAGGAGTGGCGGCAGGAGGAGGCCCTCCAGGAGAACCCGTTACGGGGACGGGAGAACCAGACGCGGGGGAGGGAGAACCAGCGGAGGGAGAGGCGGAGCGAGGGGGCGCGGGAGCGCCAGACGGCTCCCCCAGAGAGAGAGTGCCGAGGCCGAGGGAGGAGACTTGGCGAGACCTGTCGCCGAAAGAAACTGAACATCAGCCAAGTTCGGCGAGGTAGGGTGAGTATCGATGAAAACTCACGAGCAGATGACACCATACCACCAAAGTTCCTCATGGCGGCGAAAGGGCTGGGTGTAGGAGTAGAAGGGGCCATGACGTTAAGATATTTAAAAGAGAATAAAACTCGAGGCGATGATTCAAGGTAACAAATCTGTTTTCTAGGTAAGAGAGATAGAAAGTTTTGAAAGCAGATGGGAAAAAGGGAGAAGCTCGACGAACTGCTCAGTATTTAGTATAATCAAACCTAACCCCTCGTCGTCAACATGCAGCAAACTTCGCGTTTCATCAACAAAAGGCATCGCAGGGACGATCAAAATTCCCACGCTATAGTGTCTCATCTCAATATAAGCGAGGGTTACTTCGACAAACAACGGTGTTGTTCGGCTGCCATTCAGGAAGCGTGTCTCACCTACAAAAGACACAGGGCTTCTTACGGCAAACCTCGACGAAGTTAGGGGAGTCTCATTGTCGGGTTCTGGAGTGAAAGGAGGCCCAACTACGAAGTGCGGCGCAAAGAGCAGAAGAGTGAAGGATGGTCATGGGGAGGGAGAGAATGGGGGTACTACGCTGCTAAGTTCTCTTGCCACGACAGAGGTGTAATCGCTCACGAGGACGTTCGCGGCTAAAGAAGGGGGCGACTGTCACGAACTACGTCGTGACACCTCGATTACTCCACCAACAATGACCCTCCTTTGGCCATCAAAACCCCATCACGCTTTAACCTCTTTACTCTACACGTAACTCAGGACTTCTGACACCAAGTACGGCGAAGTTAGACGGAGTTAGGCTAAGTAGGGACAATGGGAGCAGAAGTACGGCAAAGTTAGACGGAGTTAGGCTAAGTAGGGACAATGGGAGCAGAAGTACGGCGAAGTTAGACGGAGTTAGGCGAAGTAGGGACAATGGGAGCAGAAGTACGGCGAAGTTAGACGGAGTTAGGCTAAGTAGGGACAATGGGAGCAGAAGTGCGGCGATGTTAGGCGGAGTTAGTCGAAGGAGGAAGAGGATGGCCGAGGGCTCGGGGAAGTTGGACGAAGTGCGTTGAAGTACGTCAAAGCGCGAGAGGGTTGGATGAACGTCTAGGAGGAGTAGATAATATTAGCTGAGAAGATCGCTGAAGTTCTTCAGCGATCCTTGATTGTTGTCAGTAGTGAAAAACAGATAGAGATAGCTATATACAATTCGAGATACATCGCCATCAGTAGAACAAAACCCCAGTTGGAGTAACTACGCCGAAGTACGCCGTAGTTACACTCCTTTCGACGTCTGCGCCCTCTCGGTTGGGTGAGACTTCGACTCAGGAGCATCAAGTTAGCCGAGGTTCGTCGACCGTCGGTCTGCCAGAAGATAGTTGTTCGACGCCCGTGACAATGACCCACGCTGAGGTCTTTTCAAAATTGTGGAAGTGTCTTGTTGTGTTGGTTGTTTAGTACTAGAGTTTGATTTTGTTGACCTCATGGATGGGAAGTGGTGTTGAGGATCTTGGAGATGTTGACTACAGAATGCCCTGAAGGCTGTAGTGTTGTGGAGTTCTTCCCAAGGTTTCCATGAGTCATGAGCACTGGAGTAATCTCTCCAATGTACTAGATAATCATATCCTCCATCATTACTGATGCGAGAATCCAGAATTCTATCAATGATGTATTCTTGTTCTCCTTCAACTTCAATCCTAGGTGGTGGATCTTGAGGTTGACTTGGGAGTCCTGAGCGCACTGGCTCTAAGAGGTTGACATGGAAGACAGGGTGAATGTTCATACTAGGAGGGAGGTCGAGTTTGAAAGCCAAAGGTGAAGGTGTGGCTTCAATAATCTTGAATGGCCCAAGCATGCGTTGATCAAGCTTGATTGATGGCCTTGAGGTTTTGATATTTTTTCGATTAAGGAATACCATATCTCCAACCTTGAAGATAGGTTTACCTTCTTGAGTGATTTCTTTGATCTTACGATCATAGAACTTGGAATGAGATAACTGCGCCTTTTTGATATTGGTGATAAGTTCCCTGTGAAGATTACGGAGTTTGTTGATGTGATCTGAGGCTGCAGGGACAGAGGTACTAGGAAGTGGTGGTGGACTAGAAGGATCAAGAGGATGGTAACCATAGGTTGCCTCAAAGGGAGAATGTTTTGTGGTTGCGTGAACTGAGTTGTTGTAACTGAATTCCGCCAGATCTAGAAGTGATGACCAGTTTGCTTGGTCATAATCACAGAATGTCCTGAGATAATTTTCTAAAACTTGGTTGACACGTTCAGTCTGACCATCTGACTGGGGATGGAACGCTGTCGAGAAGTTGGGTTTGATGCCTAATCCATTGACAAAGGCTCGCCAGAAATGAGAGTCAAAGATCCGTCCACGATCTGAGACAATATCTTGAGGTATACCATGAAGTCGCATGATTTGTTGTCGGAACATCACAGCTAATTGAGGAGCATCAAAGCCATCTTCTTTATATGGAATAAAGTGGGCTTGTTTGGTAAGACGATCAACAAAGACCATGATTGAATCAAAGTTACTGGATAAAGGGAGTTTGACTATGGCATCCATACTAATAGATTGCCAAGGATAAGAAGGAACAGGGAGTGGTTGTAAGGGTCCATAAGGTTTATGTCGTGGGATTTTATTTCGTGCGCAAGTGTGACACCCATTAACATAGGTGTTGACAAATTGTCGCAAGCCAGGGAAGTAATAATGACGTGTCAGGAGATCATGTGTCTTTGCCTGACCAAGGTGACCAGAGGTACTAGAGTTGTGGACCTGTTGGAGAAGGTCTGTCTTGAGTTCGAAGTTGTCTGGGACATAGATTCTTTCTTTGAATCTTATGATGTTGTCGGAGTAGCTGAAACCTTCAAGCTTTGGTTGAAGTTCAGGAGGACGAGGAGTACTGGGATTGCGTAGAAAAGGCATGAGCTCTTGAAGGGTATTATCCTCAGGCTGTAGTTGCTCTATCCTTGCCAAGATGTCGGAGTGAAGTGAAGAAGTGGGGTCAAGAGAGGGTTGTTGAAGGGCACCTAGAATGAATTGACCAGGTTTGAAAAGTGTGCGTGGAGGTGCCTCAGCAGCTCTACTCCCCCCCTGAAGGTCTTGACGTCTCGTCAAGGCATCTGGTTTTCCCATGGCACTTCCGGGTCTATGAATGACTTTATAATCATAGTTTGCCATGAGTTCTGCCCATCTAGCTTGACGTCTATTAAGTACTTTGGTGGTTGCAAAGTATTCTAAATTCTTGTGATCCGTATAAACTGTAATTTCTTGAGCTCCTTCAAGGTACGGTCGCCATTGTTTGAATGCTTCTACAATAGCAAGCATTTATTTGTCGTAAATTTCATAGTTGAGTTCGGCTGGTTGAAGTTTTCTTGAGTAATACGCCACAGGGTGAAGTTGATTTTTGTCGTCTGGATGGGAGAGGATACCAGCAATTGCAAAGTCAGAAGCATCTGTCTCTATTACAATTGGCTTGGTGGGCTGGAAATGGTGGAGAATGGGAGCAGTGGTAAATAATTTCTTGAGAGAGTTGAATGATTCTTCCTCAGAGTCACCCCATTCAAACTTAACATCCTTGCGGAGCAGTCTGGTTAATGGTGCAGTGACTTTGGAGTAAGACTTGATGAATCGCCTGTAGAAGTTGGCGAAGCCAAGGAAGACTTGAATGTCATGGACGGAGTGTGGTGTTGGCCAGTCGAGTACTGCGGAGACCTTTTTGGGATCCATACTGATACCTTTGTCTGAGACGATGTATCCTAGAAAGTCGACTTGATGCTGAAAGAAGGTACACTTCTCTGCTTTGGCCCAAAGATTATTTTTCCTAAGTCGCTCAAGCACCTGCTTGACGTGACTGATATGATCCTCTCTTGTTTTGCTGAAGATGAGGATGTCGTCCAAATAGACAATAACAAAGATGTCGAGATAATCCCTCAGCACATCATTGATGAGGTACTGGAAGGATGCTGGAGCATTGGTGAGCCCAAAGGGCATTACAAGATATTCAAAGAGACCATAGCGGGTCCTAAAAGCTGTTTTCCACTCATCACCATCCTTGATGCGGATGAGGTTATAAGCTGCACGGAGATCAATTTTTGTAAACCATGATGCCTCCTTAAGTCGGTCAAGGGATTCTTGAATAAGGGGCAGGGGATATCGATTTTTGCGAGTGATTTTGTTGAGTCCTCTGTAATCTACACAGAGTCGGAGGGTACCATCAGGCTTCTTGACAAAGAGTATTGGAGCGCCTGCTGGACTAGAACTGGGTTGGATAAAACCTTTCTTGAGATTGTCCTTAAGATATTCATCCAAAGCTTTAAGCTCAACTTCAGAGAGTGAGTAGATGGGTCCAAAAGGTGGTCGCGAGTCACCCTCAATAGGAATGGAATGATCATACTGGCTATGTTCTGGGAGCTGGTCGGAGTTGGATTTCTTGAAGACTTCTAGAAAGTCATGGTACTCGGGAGGTATACTCTTGAATAGAGTATCCATATCAGGATCAGGATCATCATCGTCCTCAGCCGGAAGCGGATCAATGAGTGAAGTGACTTGGGAGACAGAGGTGATGCCATAGACACAAGCTTTCTTTAGAGCATTGCGAAAGGCTGCTGCACTCACAAGGGTGACCTTGGGAGGAGCCGGAGTGTGGACAGGGACTGGAGACTGGAGTGACTTTTGTCGATTATGTTGTTGCTGGAGAGACCGCGGAGCACCATGCTGTCGTTCGATCTTGCTGGAAGGAATCCTCTCAGAGGCACACTGGCGATCTTGAGTGGTCAAAGGGGAACCTGAGGCACACTGGCGCTCTAAGTTACTAGACTGGAGTGGGGTACCAAAATCTTTTCCCATCAACTTGTCAGGTTGACTGCACTGCATCCTACAGTACAGGGAAGAGAAAACAATGGTCTGACGGGACCAATTGATAACAGGATTGTGTCGGGAGAGCCATGGAAGGCCAAGAATGACTGGATAGTCGCCAAGGGAAGTAATGTCAAGGGAGATTGTCTCCTCATGACGAATTGAAGTGGTTTGAACAGAGAGGTTGATGGGGCCAGAGTGATGTGTGATAGCACCAGAAGATATTTTTCTCCCATCAATAACATGA